GGTGGTTCTCACCTCCCCTGGGACTCCAGTGAGCCTCAGAGAGTGAGACCCCACGCTAGGGCTCCTCTGAGCCGACACGGCTCCAGCACAAGTCGATGCCTGCCTTCGTGGGCAACGGTTCGACTCCTGATGGCTTTTTGGGATATTGACAAGCGCTCCTTGTCCCCATCACGACAAGGACTGTGTCAGGGAGGGGACCCAGGGTGTGGTGTCCAATGGCCCTGGGTTCAGATGCCTCTCCAGGGACCTGGTTAACGCTGTACCCCTATTGGCTGAGAGAACATAGACGTTGGGTTTCTTCGCCTCTGAGCCACTGCCGCCTCCTCTGCGAGATGTGCATCGGCACAGTCCCTGCCTCGGGGCTGCTGGGAGGGTTTCAGGAACTCTAGGAAACCCCCGAAACGTTTCCCGCATATCACATGCTCAGTGGATGATGCCATACATTTTTTTCCTTGGTTGACATCCTCATTTTACAGGTGAGACCACTCTGACCCAGAGAGGGAGAGGCATTTTCCTGAGGCCACACAGCCAGTCACGGGGAACCTAGGGCTGACACTCCAGGCTCCTGCCTCCCAGCCCAGGGCCCTCATTTGAGTAGGAGGGGCCTCCCTGGAGCAGAAGGGGCTGTCCTGTTTGGGAAGCTGGGGCCAACCATTTCTGGAAATGGCGGTGGCTGGTGCCAGGAAGCAGGCAGTGGTTCCTGTAGCTTCTACCTGTGGCCTTCACCCAGCCTGGAGCCATTTCAACATCATCTCAGGTTGTCTTACCTGCGCGCCTTCTTTGCTTCTCCCTTGCCTCGGGCAAAACTGTGGACCGTCAGACGCTGACTTAGATGATTCCACTCTGAGGATTTACGGAGAGTTGTGTAAGACTCCCGGGCGGGCGGCTGTGTGGCCCAACCAGCTTGACGATTGCTTTCCAGAAGGTCCCTCCTGACGCATGCGGGAGGGCGAGGTGGAAGGTGGCCACAGCAGGCAGGGTCTCCACTCAACACCAGGCAGCCTGGCGGAGAACCTGGATGAGCGGGTTGGCCCGGTGGGGACTGGAGAGCTCTGGGGAGCGTCCGGGGCCTGGCAGCTCCTTCCTGTCCAACCCTGTCCCTTCTGTGTCCCTCTTTACCCAGATCTCCGTGACTGGGCTCTCTGGACCCTGACCCCTGTCCTCCTCTCCTCTCTTGAACGCACCTCCTTCAGGTGTTTGTCTCTTCCTTGTCTTGGAAACTGCTGTTACCACGGTTACCGGCAACCTCTAGGCTTCTGAAGTGTCCTAGTCGGTTGGTTCTCGGTCCGTCTTCACCCATCGGAGGCTTTGGACACTGGTTCTTCCTTCTTCCCGTGGCACCTCTCTCTGGGCTTGTGACACCACCAGTGCCGCCCCGATCCCTTCCTCAGTGCCTGGGCTCCTTGTCGTCTCCACCCGCTTAGGAGCCACCCAGTCCCCCCAGATGCCGACCAGCCCCAAATCCATCAGCGATGCATCTCAGCCACCCACTTGATTTCCCCCCTGGGTGTCTAACACCATTTCACATTTAGTCCTTCCAGAGCGGACCCCCCAGGAAGCCACGCTCTCCTCCTGCTGTCTTCCCCAGCTCGGTTAAACGGAAACCATCTGGACTCCATCTCGACTCTGGTCGCTTTCTCACCCCTGTCCCAGCCCTGGCATCCAGTTCCTCAGTCCTGTGGGCACTGGTAAAGGCGTCCGTATCCAGCCACTTCTCACAGCTCCACCTCCCCAGCCGGCCCCAGGTCCACGCTGCCATCATCTCTCACCTGGATGTCAGCAGTCGCCCCCTCACTGGTCTCCTCCATCCCATTCCTGCCATCCTGCAGTCTGTGCCCCACACAGTGGCCACGTCAGGCCAGGTCACTCCGTGCCCAGCAGGACAACCCGGCTCCATGCCTACCAGACCCTCCCCGCTGCCCATCTTACCTGACATTCCAGGCAAGCTTCACCTTGGGGCCTTTGCAGGTGCTGCTCGCACGGCCTGGAACGCACGAGGCCCGGGTGTCCCAGTGGGTCCCTCGCCCACCTCCTCCTGGTCTTGGCTCACCCGTTTCTGTGAGGTTTTCCTCCTCCACTTTGCAGCCCGCCCGCTGCCCCACCGGCCACTCTGAGCTCTCCCCTCTGCTTCGTTTCTCTCCACAGCGATCACTGTGGCCTGACTGCCACACGCTCATTTATTCGCTTCTGTCTCTGCCAGGAGGGGAAGGCGGGGTTGTGACCCCGGGGTTCCCCGCTGTGTCTCCAGTGCTCACAGCGCTGAGGGATGGTAACTGTCCTCCATCTGGGGGCTGCGGTGAGCAGCTCTGAGAGGAAGGTTCTCAGGAGGTGGGGCGGCCGGGCTCCGCCTCCCCAGGTGTCCAGGAGTGGGGGGCAGTCACCCTGTCACATCCCCTCACCTGCAGGCCCCACGCACCGGCACCTGTCCCAGGCCCTCGTGCTAACAAGTTCTTCTCGGACAAGCGGCCGGGCACCTTTCATCCTCATGGGCTTTGGCTTCCTCTGGGAATTGCCTCTTCATGTCATTCTGTTCTCTGTTCAGTGATCGGCTGCACTTTGCCCGTCTTTATTTAGTGCTTACGTCTCCCTGGCCCAGCATCCCCTGGCCCTGGGCCGTCCCTGGAGATGAGGGGCTCTGGTGTCTGGTGGCCCCTCTGTGATGTCACCTGCTCCCCAACTCCCACAGCCCGGTGACATCAGAGCTCCAGGAAGACCCCTTGAGGTGAGGGGCCTCCTCCCCTCGGGGCTCATGTGCCTGTGAGGAGTTGCAGCCAGGCAAACCCAGGCTCAGGCCCTTCGGGGTCCTTGTTGCCCTCCGCTCAGGACTCCCGGAACCCTTCGCAGTGTCATCTTCTCCCCGGCCCTGGCCTCCCCTGCTGTTTCTTCAGTGTTGTTTTTCGAGTGTAGCTCAGCGTATTCGGGCAGCTCCTTTACCAGAATCCCATGACCGAGAATGGCCCCCTGGGAGCCAGAAGCCCAGGCCCGGCCTCGCACTGGCTGCGAACTCTCCGGAACTCTCCGGAAACAGCATGTTCCTCTCTGGGCAGTCACAGGCAGGTGGGGAGGCGGACTCTGTCTCGCCCTGGAAGCGCCCTGCAAAGCACCGGGCAGGTAGCAGACTTCCCACTGTGCCGGGCTGCGTCCAGGTGCCGGGCCCGTCAGCGACAAGAAGCCCCTGGTGGAGCCAGGACACAAAACCCGAGTGGACACGGGGTGGTGATGAACACCAAAAGGAAGTGCAGTAGCCCCCCTTATCCGAGGGGGACACATTCCAAGACAGACCCCAGTGTGGACCCGCAACCACAGGTGGTGCTGAACCCTGTATTTTCCCCATCCGTACGTCCCTATGATCAAGTTTAACGTATAAACTGGGCACAGCAAGTTATGAACAACAATCACTACTAAAGTAGAACTATCGTAATGATACGCTGTTGTGGCAGTTCCGCGAATGCTCTTTCAAATCAGGCTCTTTCAAAGCGCCTGATTGTCCTGGACTCGCAGCAGGACTAGGCTGCCCGAGGCGAGTCACCTCGGGTGGGTGGCAGCGGGGATGGCATCATGGCTGCCCAGGCTGGCGCCTGGTTTAAAACTTGAGAACTGTGCGTTTCTGGGATTTTCCATTGAATATTGTCAGGCCGTGAT